CACGAGGGGCTCATCCCTGATTCTCCATCTTTTAGCAGCTACTGCTCGCCTAAACCTCTTCATCTAGGAGTGGGCTTTGTGAGATTTCTCAGTCCACATTCTGTGTTGTGTTTATATAAAGAGGTATGTATGTAAAACAATAAAATAATTAAAGAAGAGAAAGTCATGAATTTGAAAAGAAGTTAGGAGGATGTGGGGAGAACTGGAGGGGAAAAGGGAAAGGTAGAAATAATACAAATATAAAACTCATGTATAAAGTTTCAAAGCAAAATGAAATAAATGCTCAAAAATTTAAAAAGCCACAATAACACCCTCCCCACGCCACACATAAATACCTTGTTTCAATCTCAAAAAGGAGGTGGAGGAGCAGTATGTAGAGATAAATATTCTTTGCCTTGCTCAAGGCCCACATGCCTGGGATGGTTTTTCTAAATTTAGGCAGCAAAGGACCCACCTGGCCTTCTCTTCACTTTCAGCAGGGGAAGATTCCAGTTGCACTTAGGAAAATGAGGGGAAGAGTGAATAGCACTGAGGTAAAATAAAGCCAGTAACTAGCCAAGGCCAGGATCAGCAGACTCTTGCCAACATGGGATAACTGGAGTCTCTGCCAACACCTTTCTGCCCTGGGTCCCTCCTTAAAAGAGTTACAAAAATCATGGTGCCACCCTTCTATTTTCTCATTTTTCCCAGTGAGACAGGGTCCAGAGCTGCAGAGAAGACTGTGCTGCCAGCAGACCATGTCCTATGGTTTAGACCTCCCCTACTCCACTTCCCTGGCCTTGGCATCTAGAATACACACACACACACACACACACACACACACACACACACACACACACACGCCTAATCTCTTACAGTCCTGGTTTACAGGAAGTGTGGATATGTGGACACAATTACTGGTGTTTTAAACTAAATGATTTTCAACAAAAGCACATTCTTTCCTTATAGCCTATCTTTCTTTCCTCACATCCTATCTTCTGCTTAATGTGGTTCTCTTTATACCTGATATCTTAGGGCTGCTATTGGTGTGGTAAAACACCACAACCAAAGCAAGTTGGGAAGAAAGGGGTTTATTTCAGCTTACAACTTTCAGGACACACTCCATCACTGAGAGAAGTAAGGGTAAGCTACTCAAGGCAGGAACCTGGAGGTAGAAACAAGCAGAGGTCATGGAGAAATGGGGCTTATTGGCTAGGTCAGCTTGTATCAACAATCCAGGACTACTTGCCCAGGGGTGGCACTCACTCCCCCCACCCCCCATGGAGGGGCCCACCAATATTAATCATTAATCAAGACAATACCTCACAGACTTGCCTGTGGGCCAATCTTACACTCATTTTCTCAGTTAAGATCCTCTCTTCCCAGAAATGTCTAGGTTTGTGTCAAGTTGACAAAAACCAACCAGGACACTCTATAAAACAACTTACTTTATAGGGACAAAACCTATTTGACATGTAGAATTCCAAAATAAGGCATCTGTTGTTTTAAAAAATGAAAATCACAACCGTTCGATTTTAACAATAAAGATGCAGGAATCAGATACTGAGGTGAAAACCTACTAGCTCAGAGAGGCAGAGACAGCACCCAACTGATCTTCCTACTCAGCCGATGTCCCAGAAGGAAAAAGCTCTTCTTATTCAGCTCACATCCCAGTTGGAAAGAGTCAAAAGCCAAAAAGCCAAAAGTCCAAGGCCAAAAGCTTGTTATCTCAGGTGAAGGCTCAGGAGGAAAAGGTCTGCTAACCCACCTGACAGCCCAGGAGAAACAAGCCAAAAGACTCTTCTTCTCCCTAATATCTTAAGTATCCTTTAACTCAAATTCCCTTCTTTCTGCTAAATCCCTGTCAACTGGTCACTTGCTCCATCTCTTGATGTAGGGTTAATGTTACTTACTAAATCCTGTGTACAGAAAGCTCTTGGTTTAAAGGTGTGTGTTAGGGCTGGCCCACACCAAACAAACAACAGATTTTTACAGTTCACAATCTTAGGGTTCATAATGGGATCAAATATCCAACAATAGGCGTCAGTGAGTATAATTCCAACTTGGCAGGCACACTGGTAAAAAACAACAACAACAACAACAACAACAAAAAAAACAAGAACAAATCCAAGCATCAAGAATCAAGCAGTCCAAACTCAGACAGTCAGAGGAAAGTCACTGCTCCTGGAGGGCCATGGATTATCTCTGTAAAGAGTTGGTTTTCAGATAGACTTTTGGTTCCTTCTGAGGTCATGAGAAACAGTGATTCTGAGTAGATCCATTATTTATCCTAAAGAATCTTGACTACTACGTTTTTTTAATAATGAGTCTTTTGCGTAAGTTTTACTCTCTGTCTTTCTCTCTCACTCTCAAACTCCTCCCCCCCTTCTGCAAAGCTGTAGCTGAAGGTCACTCTTCATTAGGCTTTTGCACTCCTCCCTACCTCCCCCACCCCACCTTAGGTCTGTTGTTGAGCTCCCTTCAGCCTCAGTGGCTCCATCCAACAAGTGAAGATAAAAGCTGATGTGAAAATGAAGAAAGCAGCCTTTTTCTTCCTTGGCTGTCTGAAGGCAAGATGGGTCACCAGCAGCTCTACTGGAGTCACCCGCAGAAGTTCGGCTGGGGTTCTCACTCTTGCGGTCTGCTCTAACCGCCACGGTCTGATCCTGAAATACAGGCTGAACATGTGTAGTCAGTGTTTCCGGCAGTCTGTGAAGGACATAGGCTTCATTAAGTTGGACTAAGTGACCTTTAATGGATTATTCAAGACTTTTTACCCAGTGAAACTGATCATGCTACATAATCTTGTACATAAAGAATAAAAAAGTGAACATCTTCAAAAAAAGAAAAAAAGAAAATGAAGAGATCAAACACATAATATTATTACATGCGAAATATTTATTATGATACAGGGCATAAACCAGTTTGTCTCTAAAAAAATATTAAATATGAGTCTTTTGTATCAAGTGCTATGTAACTATAAAACTTGTTAAAGTTTAGGACAAGGAATTAAGATCTTTTAAAATAATATTTCCCACCCAGTAAGACATTCATATAAATGTTTTAATGGCCCCTGCCCAGTAAAACCTTTGTTCACACAAAGACCCTGCTACATTCTCATATTAAAGTCGCTGACCCCCTTTTACCTTCATTTCTCTTGCTCTGATTCTTTTAAACTGTCCAGTCTGAAGTCAGCCGCCTGCCAGTGGACAAAAGAAACAGTCATTGCCTGAGTTAGAATAAAAGTCAACTGGACTTTCTGTCTCTGTGTTTATTCTTTCTAGGTTACCCTCCTGAACAAGGACAGAGTTTTGCCCCATTGAGATGATGTTCTTTGTCTTTGGGATCTCAAACTTATTTCTAACGGTTTCTGACTTAGCAAACCTATTTCACAATTCCTTCTCTTATGGATTCTGAATATGGCTGCCATCTTTAAAATTCCCCCACTGACTGAATTGATTAGTCTCTTTCCCATGTGCTTCACTCTAGTGTGTGTATGACAAACATGTTTTTTCACGTCTTGAAATTCTTCTTTTGACAGATCCTAACTCTACCAGAAAACACTTTTCTCAATAGATTGCTGTAAGAAAAGTTCCCTCCAATACAAATGCTGATTAAGTTATTGAAAACACTCATAGGGTTTGCATTTTTACAATTTCTGCAAGGGGAGAGCAAACAGTCTAGTCTTCCTAGTTAGGTGGAGCCAGAGTTGGAGAGAAATCCCTTATCAGAATCTGTACCTAACAAAAAAAAAAAAAAAAAAAAAAAAAAAAAAAAAAAAAAAAGAAGAAGAAGAAGAAGAAGAAGAAGAAGCAAGGCAAACCTAGCAGACAGATACTTTCATTGCTCTCTTTCCAGTTATGAGCAACAAGATAATAAAAGAAGGTAATTCTGAAAGCTTTATGTCAGTTTTAATGGTCCCTCAAGTACTAAGAAATCGATGGTGTCCATGAGGATTTCTTTCTCCTTCTCCCTTGACGGCCATTGGCAGGATCACTTTGTATTTGTAACTGCTGTCACTGAAATGTGGAGAAAAGGTCCTGTAAGGGTAGAGGATGAGGACAACTTCCCTGTAACGATTTCTATTGTCATCACTGTGGAAATGATATTTACTACTGTTCTCATTCTGCTTTTCTATAGAGTGTCTACTTTGTGAAGCTTAAAGCTATAGGATTTGGGTTTCATAAAATCACACTAGCATAAAACCATGTTTTATAATCCTGCAAGAAGAACATTTTATAAAACTGTAAAGAGAACTATTCAACAGGATGAAAATAATTACCAATGCAGGTCACTTGACTAATACAATTATTTATGGGATACTAACAGCTCTTCAGAGGCGTTCAGATTCACTGTAAATCTGATTTGCCCTCTTTTCTTCTCTTTCCCCTTTCCCCCTCCCTTTCCTTTCCTTCCCCTCCCTTTCCCCAATCTGTCCCCTCCCTCTCCTCCCCCCCTCCACCGCTCAGGACCAGACGCAGAGTTGGACAGGTGTGTGAATTAACTGCAAATGAGTTCTCAAAAGTCCTTTGGTAGTTACTCTTCATTATCCACATTAAAGGAAAAGGAAAGGAGTCGGGTCTTCTGAATCATCTGTGTCACAACTCATCCCCTCTCACTGCACTCTGCATAGTGAACTTAAATTTCAGCTTTACTAGCTTTCCAACAGACAGAACTAGCGATGCCAAACCCTTCCAAAGTTCAATGGTGTGGATGAAGCTAGACTGGAGATGCTTGTGTGAATGTTATCAAGTTGTTAGATGAACAAGTTCTAAGAAAGACAGAGAGCTGGAGACAAAGAAAAGGAGGTGGAGAAAAGGGATGAAAAACACAAGCAAAAAGAAACAAAACTAGCTACTGAACGTAAAAAGGAAAAAAAAAAAAAAGAAGCAGCAGCAGCAGAGAAAAGGACTGCAAAAAATGAATGCCTACAGAGCTCCTGATACACTGCACAAACACGAAAGGTTGGGACTACAACCCCCAGGGTTCTTTGCAGCAAGGCGGACCAAGACATCAGTCTCCTAGGCAACGCGCATAAACAAGATGGCGGACCGCGAGAACGCTCCCTCGAGATGGACCATGGGCTCTTTCCGTCGGGGCTTGGGCGCCTCTCGCATTGTAGCCCACGCGATACTGTCGCTCACAGAAAAAGAGCGTCAGACGCGATGGCCTACTTTTCCCGAGGGAACGGCAAAGAAAGGCAGTTTCAAAAGCGTCTCCTCCTACATCCTCCACCAGCTCATCCACCACTCTCAGGAAGCAGAAATGGACGGGGATGTAGAAGAACAGCGCGAAGAGGGATCCGAAGAGTCTGAGGAGTCCGAAATGCAGAATTTGGAGGTGTGCCTCCCCACAACCCTTCCCGGTCTCTGGCTCCCTCCAGCAGCCCAGCATGGCTGCCTCAGTAGCAGCTTGCTTCTGCACTCCAACCGCCCTGGGCTCAGCCGCTCCTTTTGGCCCTGCGCACCCATCCCCAGATTGGGAGGCCATCCCCCACCCCTGCTTATTTCTGTTCCCTTATTTCTGGTGTATTACCCCCTCGTGTCTGGGGGGAGGGACCCCAAGCCCTCCAAATATCTACTTTCTTTTCATAGTTTCTTACAGTTCAGATTACACACTGCTATGAAAAAAAATTGTGTATTTGGATGGAGGTTATGAGTTTAATGCTTTCAAAATTATACCTTGACAAAATTGCTACCTTAGTATCAGTAGACAAGATCTAGTCCTTGATATCCCTAGCATGTCTCTCCAAACTGAATTACTTCTGCACTATTCTCAGTGGTGAGCCATTCATCTTCTCCCTCCAGGGTGGAAAAAAAATTCTTTTGAAATAATCGAAATGCTCTGCAGAAAACCAAATAACTTAAACGTTTTGTATATTAATTCTGCTAGTGACATATGCTCATTTAAGCAGTCGCCACACTCTCTGGTCAGGAAGGGAGCCATAGCATGATCAGAGAAGACAGCTCAACTTCAACCAGAGGAACTTTTGGCTTATGGGGAGTGTTCCCAACATTCCCACCTCGTAACCATTTTTCTACAGACTATTTTCAAATCACCTAGTTGCATTTCTCATCACTTGACTGTATCCCCACACATTTGACTATCCTTTCCTATCCTCTTCTCCCTTTTCACTTTGCATTCCATAATTTCTTTTATTGGCTTCTAATACTTGTTCTTCAAGATCATAAATTGATTGGTTTCCCTCGCATACACAGTTATGCTTTTCTCTTTAACTACGTGGAATCAATATTTTTTTTTCAATTCTTGCCTTTATATTGGACCCCCTCCCCTTTCTTTTCCTTCAGCATATAAATCACATCAACGTCTTCACATCTATATGTTGCTTTTCTAGTCACCTTTCTCCCTGATGTCAAACATACTTCTCCTCATCATAACTGTTCCCTTGCACAAACGCCTTTTTTCCTAGTTTGTCTTATTTCTTATTCTTCCCCCTCTAACCTTATTCTGATCTTTCTTTTCTTGGGCTCTTGTTTGCAAGGCGCTTTTGTTTACTGTGAATATTTGGCCCGTTTCTCCCTTATCCCTCGTTTTGTCTTTTCTTTCCCACGTTTTTCTTCGTGGGCTACTTACATTTTAATTTTGCCTGACATTGCTGGCAATGGTGTCCTTACCCACACTCCCAGCACTGGGAGGCAGAAATAGGAAGATTGTCAGAGTCAGTGCTCATCTGATCTACAGAGCCAGTTCCTGATTAGCTAGAAACGTTGTTGATAGAACCACGCAATGAGACCTGCCTTAAAACACAACAACAATAATAAAAAAGTAAACAAACAAACAAATTTAAACAAAGAAAGCCATCATATATTTTATTCTTCCTTCAACTATACTATACGTAATGTTCTTTCCCACTCCCAACCACTGTCATATAATACAACACCGTCTGGCACTATCAGTTTATCTAATCTGCCCAGCTGATGGCTGTGTAAGTGTCCTGCCCAGCTGGGCATGGCGCTGCACAACTGCCATCCCGGCATGGGAAGGCTGAAGAGGGTCACAAGTTGAAGGAGACCTGGGTTAGTGTTGGTTATTGTTGCTGCCGTCAGCAGTGACTGCCACAAACTGTAGCAGTGTTTGTGTTCCTTTGAAATGTTTGTGTGGTTTCCACCACCTTCCACCCCAGAGGAGTTCACAAATGAGCCACCAGTACACATTATGATTATAATTAGCACAGGCTCCTTGGCTATGGTTTCATTAGTTCTGTCGTTAATCTGTCTTCAGCAAGCCATTAACAAGCCATAGGAATCCATCCAACTGGTTTATGTTGAGAAAAAGTTTATTTCTTCCAGTTACATTCTAAATATTGATACTGACTTTGGCTTTTCATGGTATTGCTTAAATTTTAAAATGTGGAATGAACTGAAAAGTGATAAATAATTGTATATTCATGATGAATGGTTTATTCCCATGTCTTATTCTGATTATGAGTAATAATGTGGTGGCCATAATCAACAATGCAGCTAGCTTCAAACTCCAGAGCCCAAAGGAATTTAAGGGAAGCAGTTGAAACTAGCTGTTTGGAGCACTGCCTTTGGGATGAAAGGCTTGTGGTTGGGACCTGGGTTAGCCTTTTGTTAGTACCAAGATTTTGAATAAGTTATTTAGCTTGTCTAGAGCTCAAATATGGGTTTGATGATCATCTCTGTCTCATAAAATAATTAAATGATAAGTGTAAAATGCTTAACATAGGGCTGGTGAGATGGTCTTTTCAGGTAAAGATATTTGCTGCTAAGCTTGATGACCTGAGTTCAATCCCCTTAACCCACAAAGTGGAAGAAGACACTTCACTCCCTAAGGTTGACCTATGACCTCCACATGTGTGCTGTGATATGTGTACATGTACACAAACACATAGAAATAAAAAATTGATAAAAAATAAGTACCAAGCATAACACAGTCCTGATACTAAAAATAGTAATTCAGATGTTTTTTAAACTGTTTTAACCTGTAGCTCATTAAGTGATTTTAGCCTTATTGAATAAGCATTTGTGGAATTATTGATTAATAGGAAGTACTCTTTGACCATGTCTTGACTCAAAATTTGATGGATGAAAACCTCCCTTTGCCATTACCGTAACTCAGTGTGTCATAATGCCTACTTGTTGGGATAGTTATAGGCTTCAAATTTAGTAAGGTACTACTTCAAAGTTTTTCAGTATAATATCTAGTAGATTGTGTAGGCTCTCAGAAGTTACAGATATAAGAAATAATAGAAGTAGTTAAAATAGAAGATGAAAATATGATTGAAGACATACATGATCCATGCTCTCAGAGTGACATAAGACTAAGTCACAGTAGTTAGCACCTGAGGTATCATATACAGAGATAGAAACAGCTGCACCCAGGAGTCACAGGTAAGAGCAGAAAAAGCAGCTGAGATAGGTTTAGGTTGGAGAGGGCTCTGTGCTGTGTGTGGACACTCACTTGATAGTGTAAGCTGTTCTCTGATGACCAGGTAAATTTAGATGAGGAAAGTATATATTCTAGCAATATCTATAGGGGAGCAGGAAGGTTCTGGACTAAGGTAGTGCTTGGAATAGAAAGTGGGTTAAAGATAAAACACTTAAGATGAGCCCATCACTAATTAAGTGTCAGGCACCTGGGATGATGGATGATCATGTCACTGTCAAATACCATGGATATCAGGGGATATTAGCTCATTGCTATGGGAATTAGGGACAGACTTTACTATATATTAAGGAAATGGGTTTAAGAATCATATGATTGGAAATCAGGGAAGAGGGATCACAGAGGTGGAGAGCTGTGGATTTCATAGCACTGTCTATGAAGTAGGCCAGGAAGAAAGGAAGGGAAGGGAGAGGAGAGAAGGTGAGGTAGGAAGGACCACGAACAGCTGTATAGGAAAACAGATACTTCACTGAGAGTCCGAGAAGGAAACCAGAGAGAAGCAGTCCAGAGATGTGGGAGAAAAAGAGCTGCAGGTTAGCTGTATGATCACCCTTAGCCAGGCAAGGAAATCCCCAGAGCATGGAAGAGTTATGCTGTTAATAGGACAAATGTGAAGAGGCTGGAGAAGTTCCCCATTCCCTTTGCCTATCTGAGGAAGATACCTTCTTTCAGGAACCTCTAGGAGGAGGAGGGGCTTACTGTGTGGAGCTTTGCCTTAGGAATCTGAGAGAATGCTGACAATTGTCCCCGTTCCAATGTCCACAGCTATGGTGACAAACAGGCCTTCCTGAGTAAGTGAGGAAATGGAGAGGGATGAGGTCAGTTGAGGGGGTAGAGCTCTAGGTGAGAAGCTTGGGAGGATGGCAGCATTCCTTCCATCCCACAACCTCCTAGGTTTTACATAGGACATGGCGCTTCATGTGCAGGCATGACTGTCTTCCCCACTTGTGAGCAGCATGGCAGATATGGGACACTGGCCTACAGTACTTTTATTGAAGCATTTGATGCATTCCAGGCACTATGCCAAGGGCTTTCTATACATTTTTTTTTCATTCTTCTTAAAATATTAAAAAAAGAAGGGATAGGAGAGAAAGATGGTCTCCCTACTCTAGCTTTCATAGCTGGACCAATGAAATAAGGTAATGATTAACATTGACTAAGGATATCAGGGTATTGATTTTTAATATTACACGGAGCAGGGATATCATAGGAAAAGATTTTTAAAAACCACTTATTTATTTGTTTGTTTGTTTATTGTAGTGGTCTTCATCAGTTGTAAACAGAAGTTTCTTTTCTGAGGGGTGAAGATTACACTTATCTGTGGGTATAAAGACAGATGTTTATAGATTATTGTCAGGAATTATGCTGGGTTATTAAATAAGTGGTTGTAGATTTTCCTCCAATAACTACAATTTAATTAGCACTGAATAATCAGCTAGATTTCCAGTATGAACCGGGACGTGGGGCCAGAGAGATGGCTCAGTGTTTAAGAGCACTTATTAGCTGTCATTCCAGAGGACCCAGGTTTGATTTCTAGCACCTACACTGTAGCTCATAATCCCATCTGTAACTCTAGTTCCAGGGTATTCAAAGCCCTTTTCTGAGTTCCATGGGCACCAGACAAGCATGTGATACACAGACATACGTATAGACTAAATACCCATACAGATAAAAAAAAAAATTATTACAGGATCTGGAGTTAAGGGTGCTTGTTGCTCTTGCAGAGTATCTGACACTCCATTGGTGTCACATAACCATCCCTAACTCCAGCTCCAGGGGTTCCAGCACCCTCTCGTCCTTCACAGGAACTGGATGCATATGTGCAGGCAAAACACTCATATGTATAAAATGAATAAATGGCTAAAAATCTACTACGATTATTTATTCATGTGTGTTCCATATATGTGGAAGTCAGAGGGCAACTTGTAGGAATTTCTCTGTCCTTCTGCACTGTGAGTTCTGGCCCTCAAGTCTGGAGGCAAGTGAGTCATCCTGCTGATTTGGGGAAAAAATGTTTATGTGAGCATTAAGAGCTTACATACCATGTTAATAGGGGAAGGGGAGAGGGAATGTAGGACACTTAAAGGGGTTGGGGGTGGGCAAATGCTTTTATGGAAAAATACACAGCCTCTTAGGACAGATGGGAGATATGAGAGGCTGTGACAAAGGCTGCCTCACTATGGTGTCAGTCTCTCTTTGCTCCTGTGATAAGGGTCAATCTCCTCCAGTTGATGAAACTCCTGGGGAGGGGATTTATAACAGTCGAGTTGCTTTTGAAGGATCTGCCTCTCTGTAGATAAAAGCAGTTCAGAGAAAGTCTCTCCTTGCATTTGCTAGGTTTTCAAGTGCCTTCAGCTCAAAACAATCAATACACCAGACGCAGCCTGCTTTGGAGGGATGGCGTGTCTAGAACGCCTTTAAAAGAACACTCGCTTTCTATTTATAGGTGGAGAAATGAGGCTAGGAGAAAGCTTTACCTTCTTCCCAAGTCACACGGCAGAGCTGAGGTTCAGACCTCAGTTTGAACCTGATTCCATGCAGGCACCATTTCGTAGGGAGAAGCTTACAGCAACATGAGTCTACATACTTAACACCTCAGGACCAACAACCCAAGCTTTTTTCCTGGCTCCCAGGTTAATAAAGAACTAAAATGCGGATGTTTTCCCATCATAGTTAAGATGTCTGCTCATTGTGGTTAGGTACTTTATGTCAGTGTGGCTGCTGTGATGGCTGTTTTCTGCCGACATGCTCATGTCAGTGTCCGTGCTGGCCATTGTAGAGTTCAAGGCAATGGATGTGCAACATAGTCTGGCGTTTTGTCTCTTCTGTCTGCGGTCACTGGGGAAATGCCATGCCTATGCACTGGCTGTAGACCAAGGGCAAGCCTCCTCATGGAAGTGATGGCCATCCATTAAATCATCTTGTAAGTCAGATGAATCTGACAAGATCAGTTACTACGAAGTGAGCTGAGACTTGGTTTGTTCAGCCAGAACACCAGATTTCAAGACTTTATCACCTTCATTTGATGTAACCATCTTTTGAGGTGTGGGCAAGCAGACCTGTACAGAATCACAGACAGATTGAAATTTCACTACAGCTCTGCCACATACTGTCATGTCATTTTGAGCAAGGTGACCTCTAAGCCTTAGTTACTTCATCTGTAAAATGGAGATAAGAAGGCTACTGCAGGGCTGTCAGAGGAATTACCGGGCTGATTGCAGAGCTCTTGCACAGGGCCACTAGAAGTGATGTTCCTCTGGGTACTGTGTTTTCTCAGTATTGAATGTCACATGTAAGTGGCAGCTAAAAAGTCAGTGGCTTTTACTTAACCGTATATAATATGTTCATGTCTTTTATGCAGCCTTTTCTCGGGGAGCTGGATAGGACAAGGTAGATGGTTGCCTTTCTAACCAAGTTGTCTGTCCACCATTTGTATACAGCAGGAGGAATTTGATGGGGTCCTCAAAGAGGAGATGGTGACAGATGCACTCAGTGAGTTGGGGCGCTCAGGCCCTGGAACGGAGCAGGTGTACCTCAGCCTAAACTTAAAAGTGAGTATGACAGGACCATTGTAGGCTGGCAAACGGGCACATCACGCTTGTTTTCTTTGTTACACATGTAATGGTGGCAAATGTCAGGACCTGGTGCTTGGTGGAGATTAGTGATGGGTGATGAGCATGAAAACATTAGACTCCAGAGACTCAGCCATCCCAGTAGCAGCTCCCCAAATTCTTTTGTTTTCATTCTCTTCACGCTCTTTTTCATTCTATGTAGTCTATATTATAGTAATCAATGCTTTTTTCAGGAGGTTGAATCTGGATCTGTAAAACCAATCAAAAACTCTGTAAGAATTTTTGCTCTGATCAGTCAAAGCCGAGCTAAACTATCTGAATCCCAGGGAACTGAGTATTCTGATATTGATTTTCCCCTGAAGTATGTCAAGAAATAAGTAGCTTTGCGTTGTCTTTTATTTTCATAAAGACACCTATCATTAAAGCAAAAACAAAAAAAAAACAAACAAAAAAAAAACAACTATTGTTATCCATCAATTTTCAAGATTTCAACCCTAATCCATGTGTAGCACAGAATCTGGGCTCAGCTTTGACTGTGAGGAGGTGTAGGAGGTACCCACCACAGTTTGGTTTCTCTGCTGTTGCTCATTGTCCTGGAAAAATAATCTAACTCTTTGCTTTCATTACAAAACAAAACAAAACAAACAAACAAAAAACAAAAACAACCAAACAAATAAAAACCCAAGGGACTAGGGGGATGACTCAGTGGGTAAAGAGCTTGCAGTGTGCATGTGCAGGCTGGAGTTGGGATCCCAGGCATGCTGGTGTGGTGGCCTTGTCTAGATGAAATGATGCGCTCCAGGTTCAGTGAGAGAAGCTACTTCAATGTATAAGGCAAAAGGCAAGTGAGCATGACACCTGATATCAAGCATGGGCCTCTACTGGCTCATGTATACACACACACACACACACACACACACACACACACACACACACACACACCTCTTATACACATGTCCACCCACACCTGTACAAATATACAGTCTACACATACTTCTTTAAAAAAAAAAAAAACACATTGAGATTTTTACTATAGTTTCATGATTTGGCTCCTTCCTGACTACGCTAATTCTTTGTAAGGGTGTTCTGCTTTAGATTTGAACTAATAGAATACCCAGGGACTAATGAGGTGCCATCACCTGTTCTGATCTCATAGTATGTCCTTCAGCATATCAAGGCTGAACTCTTCCATCCCAGCAGTGTCTAACCTTCTATGGGTGTCTCAGGCACCCAGGCATGACACCTGGGGAGTACTCTGCACACACAGCACTGTTCATTCTAGCAGCCAGCACAGCCATCTGTAGGTCCATTTCAACCAACAGTCTGCTTATATATGTAGTGCTATGCCTTAAGTTGATCTGCCAAAACGGCAATCCTTTAAATCTTATTTCAGCCAGAGGGATGGAGCTTAGCTTATTTTGCCACTGACCTCCTTACTGTTGAGATATTATGTGTTGAATTACTTGGCCTCAATAGAATACCCTTTCTGGTTCAGTGATTTCCCTTGTATCTTACTTATGTATATATAGTAATGATAATAATAAGAATTATTATTTATTCGACTTCCTTGAATTACTTGTGTACATACCTTCTCTCCTGCCAAAGTCCTAAACCCTTAAAGGCACAATAGAACTCAGCACCTCCCTGTTTTCTCACTATACACAATTATGTACACAGTAGACACTCAGCGCTGATTTGTCATTTGTAACAACCATCACTCCCCTACATGAGAACTTGCTTTCAAATGAATCTGGTTTTTTGTTTGTTTGTTTTTGTTTTTGTTTTTCTTGCCTGTGACAGAATGACATATGCCACTAGGCTAAGTTTTTATCCCATGGGGTCAAATTCCCTCTTAGCCCCACACAAACGTTCTTTGAGTAACGATTTCTGGCCTGAATTTTGGACAGAGACTCAGTAGAATTGGATAGTGTGGCTTCCTAGGGTGCTCTGAGTTTCTGGCTGGGCCACGCACCTCTCTGCTTCTCATTGCAGCATGTGTTGTTAATGCTCTCCTCATGACATGTGATGTCTATTCAAAATTTTATTTAAACTCCTGTTATTTGCTTTTCTTTGGTTAGATGAAAACGTGGTCTTTATTGCTATAAGTTTTATTTCAAACTCTGCCCTAAAGGTTCTCATGAACACTGCTGTTACTTATCTTTTCATGTGGTTTGGTCTTGCTGATAATACTAATATCTTAGGCTAATAACTTATTTATTTCTTTTTCTTCTTCATTTTGAGACAAGGTCATACTTTGTAGCCCTGGCTGGCCTCAGACTCACAGAGATTCACACTGAATCGACTAATATTTCCTCTAAAGGAATTTTTTTTTTTTTTTTTTTTGGTGGGATCTGTAGTCCATTTTGAGATTCCATCAGTAGTAGGCCTTAGACTTTATTCTCTTCTGTACTTTTGAAAAAAATTCCGATTTTTTTTCTATCAGTGTTGTTTCTTCTAGCTGTTGCTGGAAGGCTTACACAGAATAAAAGCCATATTAAAACCTTCCCCCTTTTCTTCCTCTCAGTGCAATGATTTAGTCAATGTCAACATTCTGCATAACTATATTCATCTACAGAAGTTGGATCTTTCAGGAAACAAAATCGAAGGTACGTGACCGTCAGTTGAGAGTATATTCATCACTGAACAATGCAAAGATTTACAGGCTATATCCAGAATTTAATATAGTTTAATAATACCAAGTTTGATATCAGTGATTTGTAGATCAATCTATATATTGATTCATTGTTTTCTATGGAGAGAGAATGAGAGACAGAGAATGAGAGAGAACTGATCCAGAAGTGGAGGGAGTGAGGTCTTCAGTGTTTTGACCAGTTGAGGTACATCCCAGGAGCCTCAAAGGGCCAGAATCCCTTCAGTACTTGCAGAACGTTTGAGGATACCTTTTTCTTTATCTATTTATTCCTCTCTCAGGCATTACATCCTGACTGTAGTCCCCCTCCCTCCCTTTGTCCCCAGGTCCACCCTTCTCTGGCTCTCCTCGGAGGAGAGCAGGCTTTCAGGGGCCGATGATGCTCAGAGGAGTTCCCCACCCGCTTACAGACTTTTTGTTTGGCTTTTACGTTTACATTTTCATCCCAGCTAGCTCCTCCTATTTTTTTTCCCAAGCCTAATGTATCCAGCTTTATTAAAGATACTTTCCATAAACAATCATGGTATTTCAGGCAAGACATGGGCAGACAATCATTAACAGTATACAAGAACTTCCAACTCCCTTCTTGTATAGACTACCAAAATCAGAAAGCCACTATAAAACCCAATGAAATTTTCATTCAGTGCTTTGAAAAGGGGGAAGTAGCTTAGAGTGAGGGCTGACATTTCACATTAAGGATATTGTTTAACAACTTTTCACAAGCTGACCCTGACTTTCAGGAAAGGAAATGAAAATTGATATGATCTGAAGATCCACAATTTTTTATAAAAGGAACCACCACTCTTCTGAGGACACTCATGATGTCACTGCAAAGTCCAGATCGTCCAATAGACTGGAAAACCAATTTGGGGGGCCCGGTTCCAATAGGTCTCTGGTTTTAAGCGAGTTAAGTCAATGTTGATGGTACAGGGGGAGGAGAATACAAAAATGAATTTAGTTTTCCCATACCACAAGGCATTTTGTGCCATGATGACCCCATATGTCAACACCGCGACGTCCCTTCTGGGAGCCAACAGAATCTTTCAGAATTATCAGGGAAAAATATTTTCCCTCATCAATCCAGCTTGGGAGACATTTTGTTAGTGACACGTATGTTCTTTCCTCCAAACAATGAAGTGTTCTATGTGCTAACACCATAGCTTAAAAAAAAAAAAGTAAAACAAAATTCTGCATTTTTATAAAACTTGATAAAAATAGTATTTCAAACTGTACAGTCACCAGAAGTACACAGTTATCAAAAATGCACACACGTCACTTGGCATCTCTAGCACCTTCAGCTTTCTGTGCCTGGTCTGTTTTGGCGTCTCCATTTTCCGCAGGATTGTTTGCATCCTACCGGCCTCAGCCTTCCCTTTCTTCCCCTTGGTACCTTCTCTCCCTTCTTTGCAGCGGCCTTTTTAGGCTTGGGCTCTGGCTTTGGAGGAGCAGGTTTAGCAGATAACCTTGCAGATCTTCTCTGTGGCTTGTTCTTCACCTTGGCTTTATCTCCTTTAGCATCCCCTTCGGTCTTTTTTTTGGGCATGGCGACAGTGGGCGGTGGGGGAGTCTGCGCTGGATGCTGGGTGGGGGGAGCGGGGGAAGAGACGTTGGCGCGCGGTTTGGTCTGTCGGGGGGGGGGGGTGGTTGCTCCTCCTATTTTTAAGGTTTAAGCACCAGGGCTTCTCAATGTCACCCACCCCGTCTCTGTGTGTGCATTGACTTTTGACCACACTATCTGCAGTTCTTTGTATTTGTCATTATACCTTTCTTCTTCACACTTAATGAACATACTCCTGCAACTATTATGTTTTCTTCAAAGCCTAGTCTTTGTTTTTGATTTTCTGATCTTATTCAAGGTTAACAATATACATTTTTTTTTTCTTTAGACTTCTAAAGAAACAGGCAAATACTTTTTTCTGACCTGGTTTCTCCACTATTTTTCTGCTTGCTTCTTTTACCTGTCTTAAAGAAAACTGTAATGCTACTGATAATGGTCTCTCAACTTCATTTTCTGATTCCCCTCGTTTGACTCTAATAATTAAAGTCCAGCCCTAGAGTGCAGAGAAGCATTGTATTCTATTTCAAATACCACTGTTTGAGAGACTATTGTATTGTTATTCTTATTTTTTATAAACCCATTTTAGGAAATTGGAAACAAGTGCATGAGCAGAGAAAATTCTGGAATGAATACTGAAGCTCAGCAGTAATAGCTGAGGGCCAGTCTTGTTCTATGTGACCCTCTCTGTCCCTTTTCCTCCATTTTACTTTAAGGCAAATCCCAGATTCTACTATGGTCCAACCATTAGAAAGGCATTTTTGGTGTTACTGGCAGGAGTGGGCTGCCCACCCCACACCTACAAGGTTGATTATGCTCTGCCCACCCCACATCTCCAAGACTGAGTTTTCTGCCTTACTGAATTAGAAATTACAGCCTCATGGGAGGCTCTGACAATGCTCAGTGCCAACACTGAGCTTCACCTCCTGCCACTCAAGGCACTATCTCTCTGTGAAGATCACTTCTCACTGGCTGTCTATGACCCACGTTATTAATTCACCACAAGTTTGGGAGTCTGCCATGTATAGGGATGAAAGTGTGTTTTTCTTTGGGGGTTGTCAGCCTTACAGCTGTCCTGAGGTAGACCACATTTCAACTTTCCACAGAATCGCTTGTGCTAGAGGTGGGCTGTTAGCATACAGATTGCTGAACCCCACCCTCAGAGTTTCTGAGTCAGTGCAACTGCGGTAAAGGCTGAGAATAAGCAAGGGTGAGGTGGAGGCTGCTGGTCCAGAACCCTTGGGGTAGACACAAGGTGCTCCTGCCATCTGGTGGACAAAGAGGTTACCGCACCAAGGAGGGACCACATAGAAGTTAGCAACCCAGGTACTGTTTCTGTCATAGTGATTTTTAAAACCTTAGTGATGTACAGAGTATGAGGTGTAGTTACCATTTCATTGTATATGTCTAAATATTAGCTGATGCGTCTACTCTAAAACTGATATCCCTGTGACTGGCATTAAAGATGAACCCCAGCAGCAGTTCAGGGGCCCAGTGGACACTTACAGAATTGAGACCACACTTCTAACAGACATGCAGTTGAATACAGAATGGGCAGGTTATGGGATGATAGGTACAGACTGGTAAGCTTCTGACTCCCCATAGGTTTCTTCTCACAGGCAGCCTTCCTTGTTTGGCCCATTGGTTCCTACTAAAATCCCACCGTAATATCCCACCGTATTACTTCTTTGAAAGAGGTTTGCAGCTAGGGTGTTGCTTAATCCAGAGAGGTGAAGTCGAAGTTGGTGGGGATTTTCTGGCTTCAGAGACCCTTGATCAGGTATATTAATTCCTTCTCTGTTTCTGTGATAAAATTTAACAACCAAGGCAGCTTAAAGAAGAAAGAGTTTATATGGGCTCATGGCTCCAGAGGGTTAGAGTCTATAATGATGGAGAGATTGGCATGGTAGAAGGCAGCAGACTTGGTGACACCAGCTGAAGCTGAGAGTTGAGAGCTCATACCAGGAACCTCATGCAGGAGGCAGAGTGAACTGGGAATGGTGTGTGGCTTTTAGAACCCCAAAGCCTAGCCCCCCATCCCACCCCATGACATACTTCCCACAGCAAGCTGTACCTCATAAGCCTATGTAAACAGCCACCAGGTAGAGGACAAGCATCCAGCTGCCCTAGACCAGGGGAGTACTTCTCACTCAAGCCACCTCACATTGGTTGCCAACCCTGCCCAAGACACAGCTGGCATGCCACTCTCTCCCACTCTACAGGTGTCTGTGCCACTTGGCCAAACTTTGCCTGCCGTCGGCACAGCTGTTTTGGTTCTTTGTGTCCTTCAGAATGAGAGAGAAAGAGAGTGCTATCACCACACCACTTTCAGGTGGAGAAATGAATTGCTTGGTGGATTCTTTCATTCTGGTTTCAAAAATGCAAAAAAGAATGGCAAATGCTGCTGCCCAACATATATAACATATGTAATATACATAAGTTCATATGTAATTCCGTGTGCAGTCTCAATTAGCAGTGTTACCCAGCATCAAGTTCGGGGAGATCTGCTTGGGATAAAATGCGGGACTCAGATATAATTTTGAACCAATCCAGAGTCAAAGCGCACTAACAAGCAGGGATCTAAATCACCTAAGATAATTAATGAGATTTAGGATTAAGTCCAACTAAAACAAAATTGAATTTGCAACGGAGAGTTCCCTAATTGTGGTATTTCCAATCTTCTGAAAAGACCTAATTCAGTCATTTAGGAGCTAATTATCAAGAGGATTATCTGAGGCTTTACATTTTCTCATCCTTTCCTGTAAGTCGGGTAATATTTGAAGCCCTTAGGGGTTAGTAGATTGTGGGAAAATGATGGGGACATGCAAGAAGTCTCAGCCATTGGCTGCTCAGGCATCCTAGAAAAGGAGATGGAAAAAATAGGTAGGGCCTAGGGAAGAGAGAGATTATTGGCTCATAGAGAGTTTTACACATTTTTTAAAAATGGTTTTTTAAGTCAGCTCCTAGTGTTTTGGATACTGTTATGACATAATAAACAAAGTGTGTTTTTGTGGTTCTTCTACCCACTCCCCCATACTCTGAAATGCCTGATTTTGTTTGTTCTACGCTTTAAGAGATACTTCACATTCCTGATTTTATCAGTTTTACTCAGCTGAAATACTTATGCAATCAGCATAATTAAAAAATATTCTCATATGAGCCAGGTATGGTGGTACATGCCTGTGATCTCAGCACGTGGGAGGCAGAAGCAGGCGGATCTCTCTAAGTTCTAGGTCAGCCTGGTCTACAGAGCGAGTTCCAGGCCAGCCAGGACTATCCAGTGAGATCCAGTCAGAAAAACAAAAAAAACAAAAAAACAAAAAACGTGTTTTGATGTAATGTGCTTAATGACTTTTTCTGGTATCTTATTGATTTACCTTTTTTCTTTTGCCTCCAGATTTGTCTTGTGTGAGCTTCATGCCATATCTTCTAGAACTAAATGCTTCTCAGAACAAGCTAACTACCTTCTTCCATTTCAAACCACCCAAAAACCTCAAGGTATACTTGTCAATACACTAATCACATATGGTGGGTGCTTGACCAGTCCAGAGAGAACTGGTGAAGAGAGTCACACTAAGATGCAGGCCAATAGTGCGGGTGTCTGAACTGAAATACAGACAAGTGTCTGTGCCACTGGCTTCGCCAAAAGATACTCCATCAACAAGGAGTCCTTAGGAGAGCTTTGCCGAAACTTTATTCCTTGTTGTCTCTTTGCCATATTTCTTCTTCTTCTTTTCTTTCTTTTTCTATTTTTGTTTTTTTCAGGACAGGGTTTCTCCATGTATCAGTCCTGGCTGTCCTGGAACTTGCTCTGTAGACCAGTTGGCCTCGAACTCACAGAGATTCGCCTGCCTCTGCCTCCCAAATGCTGGGATTAAAGACATGTGCCATTGCCACCCAACTATTTTGTTTTCTTAGATTAACAAGGAGATTTTTATTGATTATTACTTCTTTGGTCTTGTGCAGCTCAAGCTTCTGCCATTCTGGCCCCAGCCTCCCAAATGCTGGTGGTTCAGGCATGTGTCTCCTCATGCAGCTCCTTTGTCCTAGTTTAAGAGTAGTAGCTATTATGTTTCTTTTGTTATAGCAGTGCAATTCTATCCGAAAAAAAATGATACAGATTTTCCTCAGTGCAAACTTTGCCTTCTTATCCCACTTTGGCTTTTAAAGAAAATAATACTTTATAACTAATCAGCTGGCTCTGCCCAGAGAGTAGTCATGGTCAGGGATGCAGGCTCTCTCGGAACTGGTGTCTGGCAGCTTTGTTCCTTGTAGTGTCTGACACCAGCTGGCAGCACGCCAAAGGTGGGAGGAGCAGCAGGCAGCACCCTCTGGTTTTAGAGCTCCCACAAGTCTTGCAAGCATAGGCTCTTGTATAGCCTGGGAAGTCAGACCTCCATGGAAATAGCCTTTGGTGGTAGTTGTCACCGCAGTTTCCAACAAGGCCTGGATAGCAGGATTTCCTTCAGCCTTTGACAGTGGCTGGTGTTAAAGTTCCTGGGCTTTTAGAGACTGACTCTGGCCCCTAAAGTCTTGGCATATCTCTGGAATTCTTCAGTGACAGTGGCCAGCAGTTGCCATTTTCTGTCTCTCACAGCCTTCAGCCTCTGCTCTCTTCTCTAGTTTCTGTAGTCCCCTACTCCTGCCCTGGCCGTTCTCTCAAACTGATCAGCTGTGTCTTCGTCAGCTCTGGAGGAGCGGGTGCCCTGCCACCTTTTGTAGCTTGGCTTTTAGCTCCACAGCTGTTCACACTGCTGTCGCTTTGATGCGTCCATCGTTACCGCTGCTCTGCTGTCCCTATAGCTGCCTTCTTCATGTTACCAGCTCACTTCAGAGAAGCCTGGGCCTGTTGCTATAGAACCAATAGAGCCAGCATTAAAAAAAATTAAAAAAAAAAAAAAAAGGTCTCTTAGCCAGGTTACTCCTGGAACCTCTACTACCTGTTTATATATCCAGAGTAGTTGTATTGGACCAATCACAGCTCCCCTTGCATGGAAATGAAGGGTTGTGTTTGCACCAATGCTTTCCCACCAGTTAGAACAGTCCCTCAGATGGGCCATCAGAGAAGTGAGCCCCTTCTGACGTTGGTGGAAATGATTGCAAGGCCACCTAGAGTTGTGGAAAACAAACAAACAAAAACCAAAATAACAACGACAAAACTGTCCTGGCTGAGGCTGTGCCATCAGGAACTGGAGTGATCTGCTAGGTAGTTTTTGCAAGGCTTCTGTGGAATGCTCAAAATGGCTGGCATAAGGTAGGCTGGCAGGCTGGTTGCCTAACTTTTCTCTTGTTCCAGGTGGCCAAGGCATGAAAAGAGAGTCCAGCAACTGCCAGTTAGGGAACCAGATTATCCTGTCCCCTACTTCTTTTCTTACTTATAGAAACCACCAGAAGGAATGCTCACAATAAGAATGTTACGAGTTTATGAATTGACACAAATAGTATTTTTAACACTTTAACAGTGCTGAGCACCTGACCAGTACCCCAGAGAGAGGCAGGGGCTTTCCTCTGCCCCGCTGTATGACTCCATCCTTGTTCCCTGCACTTGCTTTTGAGCTTGTTCTTTGAAAGCAGGAATGAAGCACATGTTTGGGGAATGGCTTGCTATGTGTGGAGTGCCATTTCTCCTGCTCCCAGGGGCACCCAGGTTACCTGTGGTTCTTGGGAAAGTGAGATTCTAACCTGGCAGGATGCTGGCTCTCAGACCTTTCACCACTGCAATCACTTGGGGGAACTTGGAGACATATTAAGGTGCAGATCCCTGTGCCAGAGATTCTGATTTAAATGGCTCAAGGAAAGGCCTGGGCTTTGGACTTGTTAAATGGTCTCCAGATGACCCTAATATTCTAACCAATTTAAAAAGCATTGCCCTAGAACATGGGATAAGCTTTCTTCTGTTGGACTCAAATATTTAACAAAAGTATTATTTTAAGGAATGAATGAACAGCAACTCTTAACTTTTATTATATATTTATTTTGTTTATAAACCTAGTTAACTTAGATCCAAGTTCTTCTGCTTAGGCTTGAACCAAAATGAAAATCTATTTGAAATCAAGAACTTGGCATTCTCCATTCTGACATCGAAACACCTTGGTCTCTTTTATAGTTTCCTGTCATTCTCCTTTGATACACACACACACACACACACACACACACACACACACACACACACACA